AACAGTTTTTTTAGATTTGCGCAAACTCTTCGTTTTCTCAGTTGAGCTATCAATGATTGCATTTAATTAGTGCCTGAAAAGGTTTTCAAACCAAATCTGCTAGGTTCTCAGGATCATCACTCGTTAACTAAGGCCAGCGGCCACGTCTAACTATATTACGTTAGATTAAGAAAACACATCGTTTATCGTTAGCTACAGTTGAAGACAAAAATTATGTACGCAGCAGGGCGCAGAATGACCGATGAATCTTTTGAATGTCAAGTTTACTTCTACTCATCATGGCAGTTTAGTTACGGTATTGAGCAGTATAGAAAACTAGTGTTTCCGCACTTTCTTCGTACCTACTTAAATCCTCCTGACATAAAGTTTCGTCATTTGCATTATTTACGTATTGCATAGTAATTATCTTGCTTTTATACTCTGTATACTTGCTGGTACTGAAAGCAGATAGCATTTTTTTATATAGCATTATTAAATGCCGAATACTGTTAATTAAACATACGCGCCCCTAACAACTATTCGAGCGATGGTGAGTATCAACCCCTCAAGAATGCATTACTATAACTGAATAAACCTCGGTTGAAACTAACGCCATACAAGTTCATCACAAAACTTAGAATGGACAAAATTTGATTGTTGCTAAAGTACAGCCTAATCAGCCAAAATCTTGACGGTTGGCTCCTAATGCAGTCGATCGCGGCCATCTGAGCGGAATTAGAGAACAGGCCAAAGTAAGTCATGATTGTAGTAAAGCGGTCAATGAGAAGTGGTAAAGGAGTTAAGTGCTGCTTTAAGATTAGTTGCACAATTTAATGCAAAACTTAATGCGCAACGTCAAGCTTCACCTTTCAGCGCAAACTTCATAATTTTGCCTTGACTTCATACCTTAAGACAATGCTAGGCAAATTACCAAGGCTAAAAAATATGGATGGAATCGGTATAGCTCCCCAATGCTAACAATAACTGACAACCAGCTCACAACTTTTTGAAATATGTTTTCTATCCACACAATCCTGAGACTTTCTCTAGGAATGTTTATCGCTTTCGAAATGCTTCATCCAAGATTAAGGACTCGATTTTATGTCTGTCTGCGTTCCTATGTAAATTGTTTCGAAAATGTAAAAATTCTTCGATAACGGGTATGAAGTAATCAATACTCGAAACACTTAATTAAGCTATGGTAACAGTTAGATAACTTTTGACTTAATCACGGAAAAGGAGTGACAGCAAACGATTAACGGAAGTGCCTAAGATCTGAGTAAGAAGTTCTTTCCAGCTTTTTAATGAAAATTTGCTTTCACCATGGAAACGTATTGGGTTTGAACTCTGAACCTCGTAAACGGATTCTTCTTCAAAGTGTAAGGGTTCTCCCAGTATGGGTAGTGGTGATACTCATTATCACAAGTGTCTGATCCGCGGATTTAGCAAATATTTTACTTTCCTCATTTGCTCTCGCATACATGCACTGAAAGTTCAAAATTAAACAAAGACCGTGTACTGTGTGTAATGTAACTGTAAAGTTCGTGATTCTCTAATCCACCTGGTCAGTGGTGAAAACGACGAATTTTTTAGCACAATGAAAAACGCGCAATAGTTCGAAACTGTTTTCGAAAGCGCGTGCTGAACGAGCTGCCTGATCATGTAGTTTTTGTCATTTTTTCACTATTGTACCTAAGCATCAAATATGACGCTATATTGGTGCGTTGAAACGGTACATTTCAACTATTTTGAACAAATATGATTAAAGATTTTCGAATCTACAATTCTCCTTAGAACTGTCGTTATTTTATGTTTACTGTTTCGGTTGTACCTGTCGCCATTTTTATGCTACA